GTAAGATAAGCAAATGCAGTCTTCCCCTGCCCAATCTGAAATAATGAGTGTTTATTTACAGTTAAAAACAGTGACAAAGTACATGAGGAGAACTCATGAAAGAGCTATCATATTCTGCCACTCCCATGTGCAACCTCCTTAAGGTCAAGTCTCTCTGTAGGCAATAGATGAATTCTAGAGTGCCAGGACAGTATTTCTCCAAAATGGCTTAAATTTTTTCATACAGCTCTCTAGGAGATAAAATAGCCAATAAAATAATTATTAGTTGGGAAACTGTTGTTTTATTTCTATAAGCAATATGAACAGAGATACCTGTATCATATTTGCTCTACAACTTTCACTGCTAATGTGAATTCTGGCACTGCAAGTTAAAAATGCAAGTTTTAAGAGTAGACAAGACAAAGCAAGCAAGGGTATAGCAAATCAAAGGTTACCTCCTTTCTATTTTGAAAAAATTAGTTTCCAAAATACCTATTTCATTGTAATATTGAAAACAGTGTTTCACATAGGCAACCTCTCTTCTATCAAAGGATACCCCGGTCTTTGGGAATAAATTCAGAGCTGCATCTTATTTGAACTGACAAGCTTGGCAAAGGATCTGGTTATGCCTGATGGCTTCTTGCATGAGGAGAAGAGGCTAAAGGAAGGTGTCTTAATTGTTTTAATGACCATATTTGATATTTTACTGACTTTTTTCTATCCATAGGCATCCAGAGCAGTTCCTATATACTTGAGCCACTTGTTTTGCTTCCTGCTTCCCCACAGTGCAGGAAAAACTGCTTTATAGCATCATGAAACAAGTAAGTTCAGGGAATGGTTACAGGTTAAAACTGGCATTGCAAAATTTTTTAAATTGGTGTGTTTTATATTTGCATTTGCAAAGTGTACAGTAAATGTGTGACATTTTGACAGCATCCAAACATAATTATCATCTGTGTCATAGTTTGTTCTTATGAGTTCTTAGAACTGAAGAAACTTGTATCCAGTTTCCTTTCAATCTTTGCTAAAAAAAATAAGGAATGACAAAGCAAATTGTGTAAATTGAATTTAAAAAATAAAAACCTAGAACAGGCTTCTTCTTAATCTCTATGTAGAGGCAATTGACATTTTACATAGCAGAAATTTATATGTGCTTAAATTTCAGAATTTGTTTACTTTAGGAATAGATATATTTAAAATTGAAACATCTCTGCCAAAGATATAAAAACACATTGTATTACCAAAATTATGTATACATTTTCTTTTAAAGTTTTATAAAAAGCGGTTTTTATTTTAAACTTTCCTAGATTACATGTAGTTCCAGCAGTTCATATTCAAAAATGCCACAGTGGTTTGATAATTCCACTCTTTTTTTCTCCTTTTTTTAAAAGTTAATGACAAATTTATCAGTAGGAGGTAGTTACTTGAACTTTGTGTCATTGATCTTTTCAGATTTTCTCTGCTGTTGAAAACCTATTGAGAGGCCTGTTGGTAAGATACATCCACAGTGAGGAAAAACAAGCAATATAGTTCATGTTACTGTTAGACACTTCTGTATTAGCACAGTGATGGTAGTAGCTTGAGCGTCACACTAGCTACATACGATGGGCCCTCTGAGTTTATAGATCTCTCAACTCTGGCCAAACCAGAGACTCAGTGACATCAAGATAGCAGTTGTTCCTTCCATGGCCGACTTGTGCGAGTTTGGGAATTGGACAGTATGGATTCAGAGAAGTGTGCATTAGCTGAGGTAAGAGCAAAAGACCTTATTCACATGTTGTTTAGTAGTGTTTTAGAGGAAGTGATAGGTTCTGAATTAATAGTTGATTAATAAAGAAACAGAAGATCTTTAAAATCAATATAGTTGAAGTGATTGAGCTATTTTTATTTTTTAGTTTATTACCAAAGGCCAGATGTTTTTGACAGGAGTGCACAGTGTGCAAGCCACTGCCAAAGTGTATGGCTTCCTATGTTAGCAGTCTTGGGAAACGTGTGAGAGTTGGAATTCCAGGAGGATTTGATCCTTCTCTCCCTTTGTGAAAGCAGTCCAGTCCATTCAGGTGAAGCTGTGATTCACAGCTGGAGAAATTTGCACTACAACTGGTCGTAATACTGTCTGTACGTAGAGAACATCCTTCATGAGAAATGTTAGTTTGGCACTTGCTAGGTGTCCTGTTTAAACATAAAAAACATTTTAAAAATACATACATGCACTCAAAAATCTTGCACAAAGTCTTCATTGGCTTTAAAAATGTGTGATTACATATGAAAAGTCTTTGTTCATACTTTGTATTACTCTACAGCACTTGTAAAGCTAGATGGATGCACTGTGTACTCCTTTTCTACACTAGCAGTAATTCATTCTGAGGTTGATACATGGTCCATAGAATGACTTGGAGCTGCTCTCCTCAGCAGCTTTAACTCTGCTATACCAGGCAAGCAGAAAACGTTTGTTCAGAGCATTAAACCAGTGTGAGTGTTAACACTGATTATTTTCAGTGTAACTGAAGGTCGGAACCATTCTAATTTAAAGTATGAAGAGTTCTACAAATAAAGATTCTCTAGTTCTTCAACATGAAGAAAATCTGGGCTTGATTAGGTACCACAACATTCAAGTTAGCCAAAATTGCTTTTTCCCAAATTAATATTAAAATTCATACTAATTTTGTACATATTACTTTAACAATATTACCATCTCAGAGCTGAATTACATTGAGATAAATGATAGTTATTTCTGTTACAATGACAACTATGTTTCTGGGTGGAATGATATTTTGAATGGTAAAATGGGATTAAGAAATGCAACTTCTGTCTCTGCCCTTCCTTTCCTTCAAAATATCTCATTTTTGACTTTGTACTCTTATTTATACCATATTCTTACACATCATTATTCCTGTGCCTTTATAATCATATGTAACCCAGCTGTGACAATCAGCAGCAATTGTTATTGAATGAAAGTTGGCAAAAACAAGAAGTTAGTATTTTGAAACTTCAACTCGGCAGCATTTCTGCTGAGCACAGATTTTTTTTAAAGTGATAAACAATTTCTCAAGTTAGTAAGCAGTAATCCAGCCTTGATATTAAATTTTAGCACCACAATGTGATGTAGATTCAGAACTGGACCGGTACTAATATAGAACAGTGAAGATAAGTACTCTGGTTGGTATGATGTTTCTAGTAGTGGGTTAATGAATAAAGAGTCAACTAATTTTTTTCTATGGTAGAAGTGGGAACTGACTCACATTTAAGATCTCACTTCAACCAGTAATACAGATGTGATTGGAGTAATTTGGCTTTGCAAACTGATGGTCAAAGTTTCAGTTCAACCCATATGGACATACTGAGATTTCTACAGTGTGGTCAGAGACTTGAGAAATTGCAGTGAACTAATTGGAAATTGGGTTGGGTGTGTGTGCATGCACTCACAAGGGTTATATCCAGGGGCAGAGAAGGCTTTTGCCTTTAGCTTTTTGGGTAAGCTAAGTGTGGTCCATGCACATCTGTAATGTCTCCTTGTTGATCCTTCCCATCCAATTTGTATGATGGGCTATGTTAATATTTTAGGATATACCTCCAAAGAAATGTCCTAGACTACATACAAAAGTATGTGCTGCATATGTATCTGAAGATGCTAGGAAGATTACTTGTTGAGCACAGTCAGGTTCTCTGAATGTAGTTGATCTGTTTGGCAGTGACAGGAGAACTTTTCTGCAGATGAAATACTGTGAAGTCTTGAGAAAAGGAAAAGAAAGGTGGACTGTTTTTAACTTTAGCTCCTTACAGCGTCCATTAATTTGTCTTAACTTTAAATAGAACACTGCATCTTTAAAGCTTAATTTGTGCATAAATATCAACATTATTTAATGAACTCATCTTAAAGTAGGCCTAAAGATACAGGTACTATATTGGAAAAGTCAATTTTGTATACTTCTATTTGGGTAAAAATTAGAAAAATGCAAGTTTCTATCATATTTTAAAATAATGATGTATATTGTTTACTTTGTTCTTATGCACACTTTGAAGCTCCGCTTCTTAAGATGTATGTAGTTGTATATGTAAATATTTTATTTTTTAATGTAATCAGCCACTTTAAAATTCCCTTTTAGTTTTTCACTTCTCTAGTGTTTCACAAGTCTTACCTGTGTTCTGCTGATTATTTTTCTGGACCCCTCACAAATTCCAGCTGATAAATTAGCAAGTAAATTCAGACTATCCTACTCTGACATTACAAAGTAACCACATTTAATTGACCAGTTATGTGAAGGCTTACTGCTGTCATAACAAGATTTAGCTTTTAGTTACCTAGAGACTATAGACTTTGAGAACTTTGAACGCAAAAGATTCGTGGTATTTCCAAGAGAGGAATTCAAGAGGAATTTTCATGGTGTGTATGGAATGAAAGTAGGATCAATGCAAAATAGAAATAATACAGAAATTGAATGTTGAGGAAGGTTGCAATTACATGTTAGTGAATAATGCCGTGGGTTGATGGGGCTGGGATGGTATTTGGTGGTTTGGGGAATGGTTGGGGCTGGTGTTGCTTGCCTGCAGCCTCGCGCCGTTGTAACCCGCACGGCCCGTTAAGGAAACTGCTCCTGTGCACGTCGTGAAAACGGCACGGCGGCGGAGGGGCTGCCTCCCCTCTGCCCTGTCTTGGCAGACACATGCCCCCTTAACAAATTTTGAATCGTATCACTGTGAACCAATGAGGCACAAAAAAAAAAAAAAAAAAAAAGGCAGCGGGAATCCGTGTTATTGCCCTTTTCTTTAGTGCACCCTGCCCACGGTTGCCCCGTAGGAGCGCAGCAAACTGATGAGAGTGTCACTCCGGGGGCCGATCGCCACCTTTAACTAAATCGTTTCGGTTTTGTTTCGGTTTTTTTCAGCTCCTCCGTCGCTGAGCGCGGCGGGCCGGGCCTGCCCGCCGAGGCCTGCGGCGGAGCGGCAGCGCCGGCCCTGGCTGAGGGCGAGCGGGCGCGCGAGCCGCGGGGTGGCGCTGCAGCCCCGCGCTGCCGCCCGCCGCCGCCGGCGCCGCCTCCCCGCCCCTCCGCCATGGCCGATGTGGAGGACGGGGACGAGCCGGGCGCCCCCCACTCGCACCCGGGCTCTGCGGGCTCCAAGGCGGGCGCCCCCGACAAGATGTTCTCGCTGAAGAAGTGGAACGCGGTGGCCATGTGGAGCTGGGATGTGGAGTGCGACACCTGCGCCATTTGCCGGGTGCAGGTTATGGGTAAGCGCCGGCCGGCCGGCAGGCCCCGGCCGCCATGGCCGCCGCCTCCGCTGCGGCGGTGCCCCGCCGCCGTGGCCTGCCGCCCTCCCCTCGCACGGCGGAGACACACGCGGTTTCCGGCAGAAGCGGGGGGGGGTGGGGGGGGGGCTCGCCCTCTCCGCGCCTTCGGCTGAAGAAGAGGAGGGCCCTGCAGCCCGCGGGGTCCCTGTGCCGGAGCGGCCGGGGGTTGCCGCACACGGGGCCGCCTCGGGCTGCACACGCCCTACGGGGAGCGGCTCCCCCGGCCCCGCCGGCTGCCAGGCCTCGGGCCGCCCCCCGGCAGGGGCAGGCCGGGGCGCCTGCGGGGCCGCTGCCCCGTGCCTGCCGGCATGGGGAGCTGCGCTCGCCGGGCGGGCTGGGCCGGTGCCAGGGCCCGGAGGCGGGCGGCTGCCCTGCTATCGCCGCCGCGGGCGAAGGCGCCTTCTCCCTGGGGTCTGTTTCTTGTCCGTTGGCAGGCTCGGCAAGGGCCGAATTACAGCCGAGTTGGCCGAAGAGCTGGATATGTGGTGCTGCTGTGTGTGGTGGGTTTTTTTGAAGCAGTTGTGGATGTAAATATAAACTAATTTTCCAGATCTGTTAATCCGGAGTGTCTAACACATCTACCCAAGCCTCCTAATTACTAGTTCAGTTGAACACACATGAATGTACCAAAAATCTATTGAAAAGGAAGGGATTGGTTTACCTGGCTTTGAAATCTGAAGACTTTTTGAAAGCAGCCTCATCGCTGACTAGCATCAATTTTTTCTGACATCTCTTGCAAGAATGGTATTTATCTTGGATCTCTGAAAATTACTTAAATTCCTCCTCTACTGTACATCTAGATCCCACTTTTACTGTTGTGCTGAGTCATCCTAGGCATAACTGTCCTCTGAGTTGGGTTTGGTAGTCTGGCATTAGAAATGACCCAGGATTCCCTCCAGAGCACCTTTTGTAGGTCCAGGAACCATGATACTGCAAATACAGTAAGGATTTGTCTTAGCAGAAATGAGACAAAATCCGCAGTGCTGTCATTTCTCATATATGTTTTTACTGAGAATGTTCTGTGGAACAGAAAAGACAAAAAGGTATGTCAAAAGAAGAAAGATGCAGCCCAAACTGCAGTGGTGGGAAATTCACCTTTTGCACAAGCATGTTTTGAAGATTGTCTGCTTTTATATGGTGAGCAGAGACCACCCTGGAAATAAGAAATTAACCTATTCTGCTGCCTAAGCCATAATTTCAATAATGTATTTCCATGTTCTAGCTAGCCTGTTTTAGGGCACTATAAGAAGTCTTAAATGAACAAAATCTTGCTCAGAGCTTTTATAAAAGGTTTTTGGTTTTGTTTTTAATAAAATTACAGTTGTTCATAGCTAGACCAAGGGAGTACTTCTCATCCAAAACCAGCAGAAAAATCTGGTAACTGTTTTTTGAGAGCAAACCACATTATTAGAACATGAAACTTGATCATTACTGACTTCAGTTTAGCAATTTCGTGTTGACCCTGCCAGACCCGGTCTGGCTCCTGTAGAGCCACTGCGTCTGCAGTAACCTTAGGCTGGAGGCAGTGCCAGACTTAAGCTGGCACTTGTTGAAAGTTAGTTTGTTTGTTATTTTCAAGGGAGGGAAGTGTTAGCTGGCTTAATTTTCTACCAGTTTGACTCACTGAACCAACATGGTCTTCAGGGACCACAGAAGCACAAGAGAAAGGAGCAAAAATGCAGGTGTTAGCAGGATTATAGCAGTACTGATTTAGATTTGCTTAACCTTTCAGACTGACACCCTTAGGGTTATGATGCAGGAGCGGGGACAGTTCACCCTGGTATGCTTGCAGTGATGGCTGTCCTCAGCTCTCTGTGCTGCTTCTCTGTCTGAAACTGCAGGTCTAGGGCTAGGATAGGAAAGCTGCTTTTATAGTCACTCCTGGTCTGCCACATCTTACTGCCCTGCATGTTGAAGTGACCTCAGATCAGCTTGCTTTGATACCATGGTAAAAGTTGAAGCAGTTTGGCCCTTAAATGCTGTGGAAATAAAAATTATAGGAACAGACAACAGGAGACTTAATTTACAGCCAGTTTTTTATCTCAGTGAGGAAAGAGCAACTGTTTCAGAACTGTCCCCTCTGTTCTTTATTACCTGAGAAAATGAGGAATGTCTGGGCAGATGAATCTAAAATGGAAGTACCAGCCATATCTGTCAGGGGGAGCAAAAATACTCAAATCTGAATTCCTGTAGCACATTATGTTTCTGTCTTCTAGGATAAAATGGCCCAACTAGTGACATGTAGGCCTGGTCCAACCTGCGGGACACTTTTGTTTAAACTATTACCTTTTATTTGGAGGAGATGAAGATGCGTTTTTTCCCATAACTGTTGAACGCTTTCTGTTGTGGCTGGCACGTGCACGTTACATCTAGGGAAGCCCGTGTTGGGCCAAAGGAGAAACAGGCATTTTTCCACTGCATGGGTGTGGTACGGCACCAAGTCTGGAAGCTGTCACTTCTGTATCCTAATGAGTCCTGAACCTGCCATCAAGTCCTATAGCCACAGACTGGGGTGCATAAAGATGATAAATATTTTTAATTAGATATTGTTCCATGTTTATGTATTAATTTATAGTATTGAATTGACCGATATGTTTGCATGTGTATGTGACTTGTGTGAAAATTACATGCAGGTACTTAGTAAGGAAAACTACTATATAAAAAGTAGTAGGAGGTGGGGGTTGTGGTGAGAGATGTACAGCCTAAAAAAATCAAAATTGTGAATGATTTCCTTAAAAGGAGATGCTGACATCTGAAAAACAAAGTCCTGTAATTAGGGTTTGGCTTTGTGCTTGCTCTGGCCTTAATATGCCTGAGTGCCTTGGCACAAATCTGCTGGTTGTTGTATCTACAAAATGGAGAAGGGTTTTTTTCAACAGAAGTTATGAAAATACCAAAGCAATGGAAAACAAACAAAACTTGTTGGGCAGTTTTATAGTCCTTCTGTTCTCTTTCAGATATATATTTTGCTGTCATGTGCACCCCTTTAAAATTTAGGGAGGGGGGTGTATTTAATGTTAAAGGGCTGAACCTGGACATCAAAACTTGGGATTTTTTCCTTTGTAGAGTGGTTTTAGAGTTTATATTTTCCTCTGACAAACCTATTCTTAAGATGGAATCCTGAGAATCAGATTGAGTCTTGTTCTTGTTTACTTTTAGATGCCTGTCTTAGATGTCAAGCTGAAAACAAACAAGAAGATTGTGTTGGTATGTAGTGATTTCATTCGCTTGTTTTTCAATTGAAACTTCTCTCAGTAGGGTGCATTTTAAAGTTTGAAGGGAATACTGATTTTATTAATGCTCAAAAGTAAACTGGTGTTCTACATTGTGTCTTTTTTTTTTACATCAGTAATATTTTATGCTTTATTTTTGAGCACTAATAAAACTAGTTTTCACTTCGGACATGCTATAGAATGAAAGAGCTTCAAATTTGCAGTCAACACATACACAACTGAGAGGTTTAAGTTTCTCTCACCATGAGCATAACTGAGGAGATTATAATGTACACTTTTGAAGAGGGTAGGAAATGGCTACTTTTTTTTTCTTCTGAGATGGATGCCAGAAGACACAATGGTAATACCAATTAAAATCCTCTATTCTGAAATAAATGTGTGTCTAGGTTGGAAAGCCGTATTTTTCCCAATCTTAATTCAGACATAGTGGAGGCGATTGCTCGTTCGTTCACTTTTTATTCAAAAAGGTGGAATCACTTGGGTTTGCTACAATGCTGTTTAAATATATTTTCATTTGCACACCAATGTATGCAAAAGCAAATCTTCATTGAATTCTGATATATTTAAATTTGAAGTAGTGAACACCGTCTCAAAGAGTTTGCTTTAAACTTTTAAGTCAACTTTTAAACCAGTGGTTTAAACTTTTTTAGGCCCTTGTTCTTTCTGTGTTGAATTATGTTGTTTCAAATTTAATCCACTGTTGTTTTTGATTATTATTTTAATGAGAACAGGAATTTCCTGTTCCAGATGTCTTAATTGGCTCACTAAGTGTCCTATTTAAGATAGAAAAAAAAAAAAAGCGTAATTTACAACACTCCTTTGATTGATACCCTTGTATTCCAGGAAGGAAAATGTGAACTAATAAGGTAAAAAAGCAAAGTAACTACTACTGTTCAGGAGCAGATGGACAATAGATAACCCTTTGTGTGGTGTTGAAACATTTGTAGCCTATGAGTAACTTCAGGTTTAAGATCCCATTTTGAGGTTTTATGCTGTAAACACTGCTTTTCAGATCAGAATTTGGTGCTATGCTCTTGTGTGATACTCAGTAGTGCATCGGCTATATTTTGGTAGTGGGGAAGATAAAGTGAAGAACTTGGATAGTTGCAATTATTTCCTGGACAGAACTGATAAATGTGTTGATACATTCACAAAGCTGTCACTTTATACAAGAAGATTAGAATATGCATTTCTTCTTTTGTAATTGGAAAGAAATAAAAGGTTTGATCACAAAGAACTGATTATCATCAGAATGACCATAATTATCCAACCTCAGTGGATAAATCAGTGATAACCCACTTTGTCACTAAAGCTTGTAGTAGTTATAAACATCTGAAAATGGTATTTTGGACTTTGCTGTTGGTGTTGATTGGACAGCTTGACTGTGACTGGAACATGTTCTTTCTTCTCTTTCAGTGGTTTGGGGAGAATGCAATCATTCCTTCCACAATTGCTGCATGTCCTTGTGGGTGAAACAGAATAATCGCTGTCCCCTCTGCCAACAGGACTGGGTAGTGCAGAGAATAGGCAAATAAAAACACTGGAAGTTGTTTTTTTTCCTGTTGAATTTGTTGAAATAGTGTATGTCTTATGCCATATGCTCACACAAAAAAATGGAACATGTCAATCATGGCATGATTGATTTAATTTATCTGCTACAAGATCAGTGTGGGTTTTGTTGTATGGTCTTTGCTGTACAATGAGGCAGTGGTCAGTCTTACTGCAGATACTTCCACAACTGAAAAAAGAGAGACACTACCTTAACAAGTGTATCTGTTACAATTTGAGTGTTAACTCTATCAGAGCATAGAAATGTGGTGGTGCAGATTATACCCTAAATACAGTTTATTTAATGTTTTTGCATAGATAAATTAATTTGAAAGGGTGACCTCACCTATAAGTCTGATATGCTGCATAGTTTACTGTCAGGGTAGAGAAATTGTTTTCTAAGTAATACTGTATACAGAAATACAGTTGGTGAATTTTTTAGAAAATACTCTGGTTTTTAATCTAAAATAAATAGTGTGTAAAGCATTTGCTATGTGCTTTTTCCATCACACTATACTAAACATTTCTGATTTAGGTTTTTGTTTATGACATCAGGAAATTTTGTTTTGTTGTATCTTTAGGTCTGTTGATGTACTGTATTCTATACATAATTTCTACAATCATAGTATTAAAATTTAACCACAATATTTTTTTAATTTATATTTCTGTTAAAGTTCAGAGACAGACGTGTTTTTAATCCACAGACTTTTGGTACAAATACACGTATTAGATATCAGTTAGCTAGGGGCATAAACAATCTCACTGGTTAGCTAATATAGAAAGCTAACAAAACTAATAATTTAAATTCAGTTAATAGAAATTTCTTTTTTATTCTATTGGTTACAGTGTTTTGGAAGTGAGAAATCATTGTTTAATTTTTGTGGAAATCCTCAATATGGAATCTTTTTTTTATATTAATTGTAACACACACCCCCACACACCCCCAAAGTATTTAAGTGCTTGACTCTGACTTTCTAGTTTTATTCAATATCCAAAGTAATTACTATTAATCTGAACATATGCTGTGGGGGTTTTTTAATATATGTGATAAAGACATTGAATGACTGCTTTAAGTCTGTAACAAATTCAGGCTTAATAAAATGGGTGAAATTGAAGCAATATTATATGCATATAATTGTTTACTTCAAAATGACCATCTTAAATGATTAAGATTAATGCATTTCTCAGATGTATTTCTATCTAGTTCTGTTTAAGTATATTTAAAGAGTTTTATCTTCACTGTATAAAGTAGTTCCAGTGTCAATCTTTCTGTCATCAAGCATACATGCAGCATTTACTGTGTTTTTGTTTAATACTTGTAATCTTGTTTTTAAAATGCTTTGAATTTTTTAAATACAGCTTTTGTCTCATTACACGCTGAGATCAAAAAAATCCTCTGTCACTGTTACAATTTATCACGTCGGTTGTTATTATCCCAGATGATGTCTGTCTTTAAAATAGAAAACAAATATAAAATACGTTAACAGTATTAATGAAGTGCCTATAACATTTTTGTTGTTGTGGAGTATTTCTGTAAAAGGATTCTTCCTAAAATGGTTGTAAAAGAAAATCTAGGTGGATGTGGAAATAATATTTAGCTGTCAAAGTTAAGCTATATCTTATCTACCACCTATTTTCTTTGCTTGAATTTGGTCCCAAGCTCTATCCTCTAACCTGTATTACTTCCATCTAGTCCCATCAGAGGACTTATTTCTTCTTATTGCTTTCGTTTATAGGTGAATATGGGAAGTACCAAAGTAATTTTCACCCTGCTTTCGGTTCACATCATGTGCATGACAAGAGTAGCTGAGAATTGTAATTGTAGAGAAGGTAGGAAGGCTCAAACACGTGTTGACACAAATGAGGTATTACGAAAGTTAATGTTGAAATCGAAGTAGCTGATATTTGTGGATATCTATTTGTGTGTTATAAGTACCTTGTAGACCATTAATTAGGGGGTCACGTAGAATATAAGGGAATGAATTTTCAGTCCTGCATATTTTCTCTGTGACTTAGAGATTAGCTTAAGTCCCAGTCTTTTTATGAGCTTTGCACCGGAGAAACTTTCTTCTGTTCCACATCATACCCTGATATTCCATTAGCATAGTTCTTAATAAGTACCCATTTTTAGTCTGAATTTGCTCACCTCTTGTACATGCAAAATAAATCAGTTTGGCTTCTCACCCAAACATACTGTTTTATGAGTAGGTAACACTAACTTAAATGGCCATTATTGACTAATAGATTAATGCTGATCTACTGTTCTCCACTGATTAATAAATGCTGGGCAGATGTGGATAATTCAGCAAATCTACTTGGAGTCTTCTCTCAGAAGTGACTGGAGTTATGAGTATGTGCCCAAAGATCATATTTTTTCACTTTACTCTTTATGAAGTTACTTTCTTTTAGATTAAGTTTATGTTCTGTAGAAATCAGGAAAGATTCTAATTAACAGAGCAGAATGATTTTTGGAGCTGTGAATGTGTCGGTCTTATGCAGATACCATAAACATTAGGTATTTTTCTTGGTTTGCTTAGAAATAAATATATCAATAACTGGTGTAAGCTGGAGTTCACCCTTAGGTTCCCAACTACCAGTCATTCATACTGCTTCCGTTTGAGCTGTGGTGGCATTCTTGCTAAATGTTGAAAAAGACCCTGCTGAATTTTAGGACCTGAAACTAAAGCTTTTTATTACCTCCTTTCTTGCCTGTCTGTACCCAGGATATTACACAACTGTGTTGCTGTGGGCACCATTTTCAGGAAAGCCACCAGCAGAATTCTGTATTTCTTTTAACTTTTTTCAGTTTTGCATGCTCTGCTGGCTGCATTATTTAGCTCTTCATGTAACCTTCTCCTGCCCTGTGTCTGCATTCACCTGTCAGAATTAGTGATTGCTGTACAGGCAAGGCTTTCAAATACTCTGCTTTAGAGGACACCATGTTCTCGTGTACACATAGCAGTTTGTGATGGATGGCCCTTTCAGTCACAACTAGAAAAACACTCTTCTAATGTAGTTTTGTAGAGTATAAGGATGAATTATTTGTCAAATGGATTCAATGCAGACAGGATTAAGCATGTAAAAACAATACTACGTAGTAAGAGTAACAAAAAGCAGCCAAGAAGACCTTAGCACTTAGTGTAGGGAGTCTGAGAGGTTACTGTGGTTACTCCTGATCTTTAGTGCTTGTGATTCAGCTCTTCAGCTTGCTCTGAGTGGGAAAAAAAGGAAATTTGACCCTAACCTCAAGGGTACAGCTTGACCCCATGCTACTGGAAGAAACATGGAACTGCTTTTCCTGTTTCCCTAATACCTTAAAAGTTTTAGCAGCCAAATCACATGACTCCACAGCAGAATGGGGCTCAGCCTAGTAAGTGCCACATGATTTTTATTCTTCTGGGAAAAAAAAAATGGGGCACAGACTTCCTGGTAGGCAGCCAGTCACTGAAGTCAGGTGGGATTTGCCTTCACTTGATTATAATCAGCTTTGTCCCTTTGCTGATGCCACCTCAGCCATATGCTGTTGCCACCTTCTCATCCTGCCACTTACTGTCATAAAGCTCAGCAGGAAAAATAAACTGAGGCCACAGTAACATATGGAAGTGTCTTGGCAAGATGTGTTTGGTCATTTGAAGTGTTTTTCCTTTCTCTGTGGGTAGGAGATGAAGTCAGAGCTATATGTTGTTTCATATACAGGGATTATTATTTTTAGACCAGCAGCAGGTCTTAGCCTTTGCATGTAACGCACTCAGACAGAGCCACATCAAGGTTTGCACAAAGCATCTGTGGAGCTCAGAGTCACTAACGTTGAGTATAACTTGAGTTTTGGAAGTTTGGATGCTCAAACCACTGACTTGGGGGATAATTGAAAGCTCAATGACTCATATCAGTCTACGTCAACTTGTGTTTCAGGCATGTCAGATTTGTGAGAAAAGCTTTTTATAAAACTAGATCCCAACTTATGTAATTCTTATTACATTGGTGTTCTCTGTGTTGAGCCGGGGAGATATGAGGCTGCCCTATTAAGTGTGGCCAGAGTGCCACTGAGTTTGGAGCGTGCATGTATTGCAGGCAGGAATCTCTGCATATTCTCAGCAGCCGGGGACAGTGCATATAGATGAAATATTGGTACATTTAAAGGTTATCAGGGCCCATTCTGAAAACCACCAGCTGAACTGCTTGCATTTGGTGCTGCAAGTGAGAAGGTTTGCCTAGGATGTCATACCTCAGCTATACATAGCGACCTCAAAGCTCCTTACAGAGAAACCTCTTACCAGTCACTTTCCACAAATGGTGCGTATACCTAAAGGTACTTAGTGAAAATCCTTGAGAGGTATTTAATGCAAAAGCAGTTAGTCTCTCTGGTGTTTTTCAGAAGCCCCCCCACACACCACTGCCAGGGAGAAGTGCAGGACAGCTACAGCACAGCACTTGAGACAGTTACTCATTTTGTCTCAACCAGGCTCTGCCACCCCAAGAGCTTGCCAGCATGTATGACATGGGGGGGCTGGACAACCTGATTGCCAACACAGCCTATCTGCAGGCAAGGAAGAGTGCAGATGGAGACACCAAGGAGATGCAAAAGAGACGTAAGAGCCTCTCACTTCCCAGGATGGATCAATGCAGTGATGTTAGACAGTCTGTTATTGCTGATTATGATAGCATCTGTGAGCAGCAGCCCATTGGCAAGAAATTATTCAGAGAGTTTTTAGAGACAGTGCCAGAGCATTTGGTGGCTAGGGACTTCCTGGATGAGGTATCAAAGTGGGAGTTGGCAGAGGACGATGTCAAGAGCAGTACCATGGAGAATATGGTCACCAGTTTTCTTAAGGCAGGCTCCAAAAACTATCTGGCTTTCATGAGCTCTGAATTGGCCAGCAAATGTGAGGCAGCTACTGTGGAAGACTATGAGAATGTCATGCAGCTGGCCAAGGAGGAAAGCAAGCTCTTCCTTCAAGACAAGCCCTTCCAGGACTTCCAGACCAGCCCTTTCTTTGACAAATTTATCCAGTGGAAAGTTTTTGAGAAGCAGACGATAACTGAAAAATACTTTTATGAGTACCGAGTGCTGGGCAAAGGTGGCTTTGGAGAGGTAAGAGCTGTACTTTTAAGGTTGTGGGTCATCCCTCCCCTTTCAAGACCAGCAGGTGGATTTGTAAAGAGGAACCTGGCAATAGATTAAGAAATGTCTAAAGTTTTGCAAAATTTAATCCTTCAGATTGCTCATTTCCCAGAAATTAGGCTGGGTTTCTTATCTGTACTATGGTATAGGCTCCAGATGCCTGTTAGAGAAGAGTTACTCTAAAATTTTTTATATTCTGTATCTACGCTAGTAAAAAAATGGGCTTCTTCACAAAAGCTCGCATGGCTGTCCATGTAGTTAATTATTAGTCTGCTTCTTGGCACTTTTTTTTAGCCTGTGCTCTCACACACTCCCAGATAATTCCTAGGTGCAGTGTAGGGAATAGCACAGATTGGGATCTGTTCTCAAAACACACTATGAATGAGGATACCTTTTTTTGAGATGGAAGAGGGTTTAGCTACACAGATCCAAGCTGTATATGCCACTTATAGTCAGAGAAGGGGTTCTGTTTATTTGCTAATACATGTCTACTAATGGTGGCCTCAGGAACTTTGCATAAGGTCCACCATATACTGGTCTGGAACAGAACAGACTGCTTGTTTTTTTCCTTATTTTCTCTGCTAAATCAGTCTGACACAGAAGTTAACATCAGCAGCTACTAATAGGCATCTGTGATTCCCCAGTTCTTGGCTGTTACTGCCCTTGGTATTCCACTGTCCGTGTAAAATTCCTTGACTACCTTTCCTCGTGCACCTTGCTTCTTTAGGTTTGTGCCATCCAAGTGAAAAATACTGGTAAGATGTATGCTTGCAAGAAACTGGATAAAAAAAGGTTGAAAAAGAAAGGTGGAGAGAAGATGGCACTACTGGAGAAAGAGATTCTGGAGAAGGTCACCAGCCCTTTCATAGTCACACTAGCTTATGCCTATGAGAGCAAAAGCCATCTGTGTCTTGTCATGAGCCTCATGAATGGAGGGGATCTGAAGTATCACATCTACAATGTTGGAGAAAGGGGTTTGGCAATGAACAGGGTCATCTATTACTCAGCTCAGATCACCTGTGGGATTCTGCATCTCCATTCCATCAAGATTGTGTACCGTGACATGAAACCAGAAAATGTCCTCCTGGATGATAACGGCAACTGCAGACTGTCTGATCTTGGATTGGCAGTGAAAGTCAAAGAGGGAAAAGCCATCACTCAGAGGGTGAGTACGAATTCATTGAATGTGGGCAGTGGGAAGGGAAGCTGTTCTATTTCTAATGCATTATGAGTCCAAGACTTAATTCCCCCAGATTTGTTCTTTGCTAAAGACCTTACGTGTTTATTTCATTCTAAGAGACAGGTGGTAAGAAGATTTGGTTAATTAACTATCTAGATGCTATATGTAGTAAAATAACTTCTCTTACACAGAAACAATGGAATCGGCTTGACCTGTTGCTTCTGTTAAGATGAACTCTTGAACCATTTTAGAGACTAACACAGATGCCTTGTGCCTTGAGTAACAGTGCATAGTCATCGATTTAACCAGTTACTTGTTTTAGTGAGTGGCAAAGGTATGACTCGTGTATTCAGTTTTTGCTCCTAGAAGAATACAAGTTCTTCCAGATTACTCTAAGGTAATGCTACTGATTGTGTTGCAGGTGTTCATGGTGCTGCACAATAAACCACGGCCTTCCGTTAAACTCCCCAAGTCTTTCAAGTTACTCTGTAGAAATTCAGTAGAATGGACCTGCTAGTAATCTTTTGTATCATGCTTGAAGTGCACATACCTTTTGACATTGTTACTTAATACAGTATTTTGTAGTTTGACATAATTTTTTTTTCCTGACTCCTAAGAAGTTTGTATTATGAGTGTTTTTAGTTCTCAGTGAAAGAAAATATGAAAATACCATTTCTGTGAAAGCTAAGGCAGGTCTTTAAAAAGACCTTAGGTGAAATGGGAATGTTGTTTTATTTGTGAAGATGGCATTTTGATCAGTGAACCCAAAGCTGTAAACCTTACTGTGCTTTGCAAGTTATAGATGCATGCAGTTGTTACGATCAGAAAAAATAATTTTGTCCAAGGTCAGTTTTTCCTACTTGTGAATATGTGGGGTTTGACAGAAGGAAAAAAAAAAAAGTGTATTTAGAAATGTCTAACCACTTCTGTTGTTGTTAGGGTAGAACCTCAAAGCAGTAGTGAACAAGGCTGTTCTTCCTCAGTTTCTATGATAGTCATGAAGTTATAACAATTTTTCTTCTGTTATTGTTCACTGGTTTTAAAAGCACTGTTCACCATTATGTGGCTGCATTTATTAGAGCAAAAACTTCAGTGAATAAAATACTACGCTATTGTAGTGTGTTATAAGGAATTCCTGTTAAAAGCAGTTTTATTCTTACAGGAAACAGAAATAGGAGAGGGAAGAAAGATTTAACTTCTTTTTTCTGTATCATAACTATAAGGGATTTAGAGGAATATTAATTCCCAGTATTATTTTGCATTTCTGTAAACTAACCCTATCTTAGTAATTTGAAAGCTACTACTAAAATCACTATTTAAGAGCTAGATTGTGCTATTTATAGTAATGTTGTACACAGGAAGACCTAGAAGCACCTTTGCAAAACTTGTTGCATTAAGCATCACCATATGCCTCTGTAATAAAATGATGCTGTTAAATTAATTTTTGTTTACTAATCAGTTAGATTGCAATTTAAAACTGGCAGAAAGTTTGTATCATAGCATGCTTTTTGAGTTTGACTACCAAATTTTTATCACTTTAAAAAAAGACTTGAGAGAAGATATTTGTATCGGTTTGGGGTTTTTTCATCCAAAAAGATTGAATTAAATTTAATCAGTTCCACTATTTTGTGGACACAGTTTTATAAGGTAAAGCAGAAAATACATTCTTCCAGGCCAAATCTATATTGTACTGTGTGTCTGAGTAAAGTGCCTAACATAAAAAAATCTGTTTCTAGATTTTGGATGAAGGTCTGAACTGAATATTTAAAGGCTTACAGTTTTCAGTCATTAATTACAGGGAAAAAACTATCTATAACATAAAACCTTTTCATTTCAATTTATTTATCTATTTGCAAACAATCCTTGTGTTTTGATGAATGTTGTAATTTGAACTTCATTCATATATCCAGCAGTTCTGACTTTAAAGCCTTGTAACTCTCTTATGACCTGGTTCCTCAATATCATACTTAAAATACTGTTCTATTGCACTGTGAGAATAATGCCTAACTTTTTGCTTTAATCATATTAATGAGTCATTCTACTGTCTGAAAGTAATTAACTAATAACCCTAGTACCAAATGTGAAACCATGGTTTAACTGCCTGGTACAAATAATGGTCATTTATATCATCTATTAAGAGAAATTTTACTTAGCTAGCCTTACATATATTCTGAAGAATTAAGATATCTTATTTGTTAAATGTAAGGTAGAAAATTTTTTTAAAATTGCATCTATTGTGGCCTTTCTGTAAGTTTATATATATATAAAAAAAAAAAAACACCACCTTGGATTTTTTTTCTGCTGTCTAATGAAATTGGAAGCTTGAGTGAACTTGAGTTGTTTGATCTTTCATTTTATTTCTTGTTTTTCATTGTAGAAGTACCAGTAGCAGCAACTGTTTAATTCCTTGTTTTGCTGAAGTACTGTTTCAGAGGAAAAAAAGTAATATGCTTTTTTGAGTCACATTTTAACAGCTTACTTACACTGAACAGATTTCTCCAATGCAAGCTACCCTTGTATTTAGTAAAGATACTTTCATTGCGAGACTGTATTCATTCTGAGTATAGAGATCCTGTTTTAGTCTCATACTCTTAAATGAAGAAGCAGAATGGTGCCTGACTTAAAATAGACCACTTTCCTCTAAATTGTTTTCTGCAGGTGTGAACTAAACAGATGCTGAAGTAAAATAATTAAAGTTTTTTCAGTCTGTCTAAAAATCTCTGTGATTTAATTTTTTCTTCCTGAGTGCTAATCTTTTCACAAAGTCTTTAGTTCTTCAGATATTAAGTGGATCTTCCTTATGAATAAGCAAAATAAAACAGAAAAGTCTTCCATACCTCTTATATATCAGGAGGACCCGAGTAAACAAATGTGGAGTAGACATCTGAGCTTAGGCACCTGCTTAAAAAGTGTTCATCTCCATGTGTTTGACTGTAACTGTGCTGGTATGAATGTGTCTCTTAATACATCATAGATAGTGAAACAAAGCAGCAGTTTTCTGCTTTTTTTTCTATGTCTACTTTTGTTATATATTATGAAGTAGAAACATCATGTGATGACTTTTATCATTTCTTATACAGGGTTGAATAGTATACAAAATTTTGATGCATTCTGACAGTTTTGTATACCCCTCATGAATGTACAAGCCATTAAAGATAAACTTGCTTTGAAAGCATCAGAAAAATTCCTAGCCCCTCATGTATGAATAAATGCACATCAGCCATACATCAGTGGGAGGATCCATAAATCCCTTCTGTAAATCTTGTTAGGTGATTAGGTTATCACATGGCACAAGCGATAAACTAGCTAGCAGGTTCTTGTTTCAGACATTTCCAAGTTTTTGGTGAAAATTTCTTATGAAGTGATAATGTTTATGTTCTGTTTACCAGCCAAAGATTATTTTCTTTATGAGTGGAAAGTGTTTTTGAATTTTAGATGGGTGACTTTAATGTGGTCTTACAAAGTAATGCCTCTTTATGCTATAGAAAAATAATTGTGCAGCTGATGATTTAATACTTACGTAACTGAAGAATTGGCATTGATACCTTTAAGTATTGTCATTACATATACTCCATTTGAGAAATATTTGCATGCTCCATACCAACTGTCTGCAGCTATTATAAATAAAAATATCCTACTTTCAGAAACAATGCTCCTTACAAAGGTCTAGAAAGAGCCTTAGTTTTTTCCCTTTCTTTCCAATTGCTAAAGCAGCAGGAGAAACACCTGGCTTTCCGTGTGAATGTTACTTTGAACATATATAGACTGTTATAAGTGATTGGTACAGTAATAATTACAGAGTTTAGAAAACTTAATTTCACTAATGTATGCTGATTTGTATTTGTGAATTGCTAGCTGTCTTTAGAATGGAGAAGTCACAAAAAAAAACCAAACCAAAACAAAACTGCAAAGTTGAACAATAACAGTCTTGGAAATAAAATTAGAAGGCAAATGAAAGCTACTTAAAATATATTTTTTCTTCAGGAAACAAACATGGGTTATATGGGATCTTGTGATACTTACATGTACCTGTGCAATCTACCTAGAAATGTGTATATGCATACTTACTTAGGCAGAGTTTTTACTGACATCACTGAAAACAGAAATAAACTCTTTGCCAGTGATCACATAATTATTCAGGACTTCAGGAAATACCATTATGACTTTTCATTGAAATGTACCAGTGGCATCTGTTCTGATGTGTTGATCATACTGTGCATAAACTAGATTGTATCTTAAAAGTACACCTCTTTAAATGTTGATGTTCTCTTTGATTTATATAATTGAAATTGGCAACAAGGAGAAACCGAGATCCTGCAAAGATGGCTTTTGGACAGGCAAAATGTTTTGTCTCGTTCTGCACTCACTTGATTGATTCTGGAACTAGTTCTTTTTGCATATGACAGAAATGAGGAGCCTCCATCCCAGGTTTCTCCACTTGAACACTTTGACCTGGTGTCTTGGTTTGGGCTGAAATAGAGTTAATATTCCTTTTCAGGGACTAGATGAGTGCTGTGTTTTGGATTTAGCTTTGGGTTTGGTATGGGAAAAATACTGACAGCACACTGATGTTTTCAGCTGCTACCTAGACTTCAAGGACTCTCCGACTCTCCATGTCCTGCCCGTGCACAAGAAACAGGGAGGGAGCATGGACAGAGCACCAGACCCAAATTGGCCAATGAAATATTCCATATCATGGAACGTCATGCTCACTATATAAAGGAGGGGTGGTTGGGAAGGAGCGCTCTCGCTTCTGGGATTGCGGTTGTGGGATCTTGGTATCTCGGGGTCGCTGGCCGGGAATGGGCTGGGTATTGGTTAGCGGGTGGTGAGCAATTATGCTGTACATTGCCTGTTTATATATTTCTTTTTGTTTTCCCCCTATCATCGTTATTGTTCTCGTTTTATTGCCATTATTAAACTGTTCTTATCTCAGCCTGTGAGTCTCCCTTCACCCCTCTAATCCCCTCCCCCATTCCCAGGTG